AATAGAGCCCTTTCTCTACAGCCGTACATCCCTCTCTACTCCTGTACCGCCGTCCGAATCAATCCAGAGAGTTACGTGTACCAAGATCGCCGTGTTCTATGCATAAGAGACCAAACCGCGATCGCCTGTTTGACTGACACGCTGTTACTTTCTCTTTTTCCTATAGAGTCAACGTTGTCCTACCTGTCTTGATGTTCGTTCACGCTTCCACCGTCCGCCGTGTATGCAGGCGATGAAGCCGCTATTCCGCAGACTCTTCTTGGAGACGAGGCTGGTGGTTAAGAGGCATATGGTGTGGGAGGACACCGCGAACTTTCGCCTCATGTCTATTTACGACATGAAATCTCGTTGCAAGTGAGTTAAGTTTTCTTCCTCTGGAGGATCCCAGAGCAGCTTTGGTACTCGTTGTACTGCTGTAGGAACCCTTATGTGACTACAGATAGTAGTACGATAACGTTGTGTGCCAAAAGATCGCTGGCGTGCCTCGCCAAAGAGAAAAAAACGTGCGCCGTAAAGGTCAGCAGAGTAACCAAGAGGTAGCCCACCATTCACGCACGCACATGAGCAATGTGCGCAGGTACACGCATACCACCTTTGTATACCTTCTTCCCCTCGCTGCCTCGGGAAGGTTTTGCGTAGGCATGACCCCTAGCGAGGTCTTTCTAGCGAGCAGGGCTAGACTCACCCTCAAGGGACCGATACCTTCTTGCTGCGGCGCACCCGCCGCGAGGCGTGCGTAGTGGTGGAGTTGGGTCGGCACTGATGCGTCAGGTACAAAGGTGCAGATGCGCCGGCCTCCAGGCCGTCGGTGTAGGCAGCAATGCCCATCTCATCTTTGTGCGCGGAGGCAGACGTCATCAGAAAGGTGGACGAGCACTGTGTACACGGCCCTAGGTTTGCTAGAGGGAGCTGTACTGTCTCAGTAAACTGGTTTTGCCATCAAAGGAGAAGGGGACAGGTGGTGACGAGCTGATTGGGCTGGTTGACCCTTCGGCGCGAGAACTTTGAGACCAAGAACCCTAAGTGCAACGAGGGAGCAAGCGAGGAACCGACTGGGAAGGACAGCAACGAGAGCGCGTACGACGCGGAGCGGGTCGAGTTTGGTCGTGCTTGGACTGGCCACAGCGGCACCGGAGCAGCGGCACCGGAGCAGCGGCACCGGAGCAGCGGCACCGGAGCATGCGGACGGCATCGAACCGTGGCGCACGGACAAACATCTCTTGTGTTGTCAATTATTTGCCGTTTTTTTCCTGAATATAGGTGTTAGGTGTGTGTAATGACGTCACTGGTTTTGTAGAGATACGTGGCAGAAATGGCGCGGATAACCCAGGTGCCTTAATTGTGTACCTGCATCGTGGAAGACCCCTTCAATGTGGAACGATTCCTAGTCAGTGTCGATGTTTACACTGCTGTGCCTAACACAGATGATGTGGATAGATTCGGGTGATTGTCAATTGCAATGATGTCTTTGGTTGGGTGTTCTTCATTGTATGTCCACGCACTCATTCTGACAGCACTTCAGACAGCAGCTGCATGCCCCGAGCTTGTATACCATGCACCAGGTGTTATTATTGTACAGAAAGCACTTCAGACAGCAGTACGCTGTAGTCGACAAACATCCATTTTGGTTACATGCGAGACAAGGGGGGTGATGCTGCTGCTGTAGTCGAATTGTTGTGTGTGGGCGTGTAGTTCAGTTGTGAGCACGCAAACGTGCTGCAGGGATTGCAGGTGTACCTCCTCGGGCTTGTGTACCCTTTTCTTGCTAATGGTGTGTGTGTCCTTTAGATCTTCTGATGGCTCTAGCATTTTTGTGACCACGGACCGAGTCTTTGCTAGATTTTGGGATTAGCAACTGACACGAGTTTAATGTGAAGAAAGATAACAACAACAACAACAACAACAACAACAGCAGTGATGTCTCTGATGTGGGGCAGATATGTCCTCTCTTTTCAGACCCAATCTACTGCCTACTGCTGTAAGATCCAAACGAAAAATACGACTGGAGGGGTACATACAGCACCCTCGACAAGTAATCAACCCGGGGTCCCGCTTGCGCGATCGAGAGCAGAGATAACGCGTCCCGGAGCCGATGCTAACGTACTGCCTCGGTGCCTGATGCGGTCATGACTGCGGTGTGTGTGGTCCAGAATGTTGGGAGTGAAGGAGGTCCGTGTGCTGTGTGCCATTTTCGCTCAAGGGCAAGGGTATTCGGGACTACATGCAAGGGTATAGCATGCACGATGATCCCTCTATATCGTTGGTACGGAATTGTATTTCTTGCCGTGATGTTGATCCATTGGTTGCGATAGTAATATCTTGGGGTCGATTTGCTGTGTGAGCCAGAAAAAAAAAGTCAAATCAATCCAGTCTCGTAAGGTTAGCCGTAGTTTTACCATGCCTTGGTCTCACCTCCCTGCCCTCGGTGCATAGCGCTGTGTATTTTTTTCAGCCAACAGTTCGCAAGATTCACACCACGTTCCTGTTGATGTGCAATTTTTCGCCCTCCTCGCGCCGGCAGGGGATTGCCTTTCTTCTACAACAGAAGGACGGGCCAAACTATTTGCGGTGCGACGACGTGGAAAAACTTCAAAAACTGGTGAGTGTCACACAAAGCGCAGAGACTAAATAGAGCATGTCCCCAAACCGGTGCATCACTATGTTGTGAGCGTCCCGGGCGGAGCTAGCAGTGCAAGTTAGTCGCACCTCCACGTGATTTTCCTTCGCCTTTTTTGTCTACGGTGGAATGTACCCAGGGCACTCGACCGGAATTGCAAGCCATCCTCACCTCCACGCATGACTGGTGAACAGCAAGAAGACGCCAGGGAAAAAAAGCTGGAGCAGGTGCGAAGTTTTGTCGCATCGCGAATCATTCGCGTGATGATGGTTATTCGATCTTGCTTTTGACGTTTGCAGCAGCGGTGCTTGCAGCATTTGTATCGTCGAACGCACTGTAGACACTGAATTTCTCGCCTGGTGCGAGTTCAGACAGGACTCCTACCGCGGACCTTCCGGCAGTGTGAACCTCGCGCCCGTACAGAGGATCGGCAGAATCCTTCCTGGAGATGGATTTGGACGTCGGTCACGCTAAATTTGACCAGAGAAGAGTTGTGCAGTCGGGAAGTTCGTGTTTGCTCGAAGGCCTCATCGCCGACGTTGGTGTGCTGTCGTTCGCTCCTTCCTGTCCACATTTCATTTCAGGACCCGTGGTTCAGCAGACTCAAGAAAGGTTTGGGTGGAGACAAGGAAGCGACCCCGACGACGATGGACGAATACAATTAGTACGTTTGAAGTACTGTGTCACTGGTGATAATATTCTGTCTTCGCGTTTGTAATTGCCTTGCGGGCGGGCCTCCGTGATCTACCTTCGTTTCCTTTGATAGTTGTCGCCATCCCGTTCGCAACAGGTAAACGTGCGCCATACCTTGCAATGGCACGCTACTGATGTTGTCGCCTTAGGCATCATTTGCTGCATCCGTTTTTCTGCAGGTCGTCTGCTGCTTCTGCAGCTACACGTCTCCGGTTTGTAGCTCAAAGTATGTCATGAACGATGTGTATTTTTGAACAGAGGGTGAAATAACTCGTGAGCGAAGCGTCATAGCCACCACAATGAACAAAAAACTAGAAATATCCAAGGATGGCGCAGGAGCGAAAACCCCAAAATGGTACATGTAGTCTACATACAAACAAGTGTTTTCGTGGTTGGTGACAACACCCAGTGAGAAAAGCACGAAAGTTCTGCCCCAAAACGTGTGCGCAAGTTCGTAATTATATCTCTTATTCACACCGTAATCACAACATTACAAGCCCCGACTACGCTACTCCACACATTAATTCTCAACAAGATATGTTACATGTTTATCAACTAAAGCAACTGCCATCGATGTTCACGCGCTGAAGAGGTCCAAAGCGGATGCAAGCAAGCTGAAGAAAGGCTCTTGCGTTTCTACCAGAGCTGCCACCTGTCCACGTGCAGCGTAAAGCAACGACGTCGGCGGCATGGTAGAGCGGAAAGTTCAGTACACCAAGTGGGACCATCGCTCGCGGTGACGGACTCGACATTTTTCGGCGGCACGACCAACCAAAGGAACAAATAGTAGCCTCAGCAGGACCCCCCCCCCCCCCCCCCCCCCCCCCCCCCCCCCCCCCCCCCCCCCCCCCC